CTGTATATGATATTGGATGGCTTTTCATTCCTGGCAACCATGATTTATAATAGTCACTATTGTATGCATAGTTCAGAAAGGACAGAAAAGGGGGGGGTGGAATTTTTATTGAGAAGTGAAAAATGTAAAATATTTATTTAGCACTGGCTACTGTTTTATTCTTCAGAATGGAATGTTTTGCTGTATTTTCCCTATCCCCAGTTTACATACAGTACATGTGTTTTACACAGATCCTTTGGACTATGGCAAAATCCCCTGATCTTTAATAACTCTGCTTTTCCAATGCATGTTTTGGTAATCTTACCTGATTAACTTATCCAGAGTTATAATAGCTTTACTGAAATTACATATGCAATAAAAGTAGCCAGGTTTATCTCTTACCAGGTGCACTTCTGCCTAAAATAGAATTTGCCTTCCTTTGATATGACACCAAAATACAGCTATAGCAACACACTTCAACGTAGTTTCTTTTCCATATGTCAGCTGCAGGCTTATTCAAACTGAGGATGGTTTATGTATTTGCTTGTGCTCCCTTTTGCTGGCCATTTTTCTCTCTTTTTTATAATTATTTTTCTTTTCTGCTAACTTTTTGCACCAATATTGCTGTTCATCACAGATGTTCCTCATGATGGATCACAAGCAATACCTTTGGCTGGCTTTGGCCATGACTCAGTGAATCTCCACAGGTGTTGAGTAGACTCGTATTTCCAATTAGTGAAGTACAAAGAAGTTCATTTGTGTTCTCTATAAGAGTTCACATCCTTCATAGGCGTGGATTGTAGGAGACATTTTATGATACATTGGCACTTTGTATTAAATGCTGTAGCTTTATATGATCCAAATAGTAATGTTTTAAAAAATTACCTATTTAAATGATGAGATTATTATAAAGTTAATGCTGCATATGTGGATCCTTTTCATTTTATAAGTTTGCTTTAGTTTCCTCTGTGATACTCTGAAGTTTAATTTGCACTGAAAACCATAATGTTCTTCAGCTTGCTTAGTCGATTAGGTCTGAGTTAAGATTTTGCGTAATGTGGAAGTATTTGTATGAGAAGTTTTTGATACAAAAGCAGACCAAATTGTGTGCCGATTCATTTTGTCTCAGTTATCAGCCTATAATTTGGTCTTGGTTCTTAATAATCTTAGTCTTTTTCATTTGTCCACAAGTGTCTGTAGGGTGGTAAGCACACTCAGACTGCACATCTGAAGGGCAGACAGCAGCTGGAAACAGTTTACTTATTTTATCAATGATGAAGGACAGACAGGCTTAAGATAGGAATTCATTTTCTAGTTTCACCATTTTAAATCAGTGATTTTGTATCTTCATGAGATCAGAGTCAGACTCTTGTTACTTTGGAATAAGCCACACTTACTGGATCACCATGGAAAACATAAAGGGAAGGACAGAATTATTCATACTCAGACTCCATGCTGAAACTTAAAGGTAGAAAATTTTGAATGCCCTGACTTGATATATTTTTCTACTCTTTGTTTTTCTGTTTTAATTGATCTTGCTAAACCCAGAACCAGGAGTTAGGTAGCTGCAGTAAAACCATGTGGACAGTGCATTTTGAATAGATTTCTGTCAAACGACTTCATAATGGACTTCTAAATTCCATTATGCAGTTTCAGCCAAATTCACAAGTTCTATAAAGACACAAGTCCAGTACCTTATTGGGAATAAGTTCTGACAGTTGAAGTAGCAGAATAAAGAATGTGGTTGTACAAACTAAGGTCTTGTATGTCCTCTGCAATAAGTCAACTTGGCTGGCTATTTACCAGTCTACCTGAACTTTTGTTTGTTGGGTTGTGGGGTTTTTACCTCTTAGAGCATTTTTTAAAACAGCTGGAATCAGTCTAATATCTGATGTCACAATATTTTGTTGTATGTCTACATCAGGGGTAGAACATTGCAGCGTTCCTAAGTTTTTACTTAATATCTGCTGAAATTAAATCTGCATAATGTATTCAGGGAGTTATTCACACAGTAAACCATAGTTTATAATGAACTCCAAAAAATAAAATTCCACTGCTACTTATTCAAAGAGGTTTGACTATCTTTAAAGCTTGTTTTAATGGTAAAAAATGTGTGACTTAAATGATGATAAGAAAAAGGAAAATGATTTTTATTGACTCCTACTAGAATACCTTAGGCTCTAGATTAAAAGCTTGCACAGCTCCAACCCATTTGGGAAAAGGGTTTTTTTTTTTTTCAGTAGCATCAATTTAAAGTAATACACTTAAAGATGCATGATATTTCTGCACATCCACACCCAGATGGAAAGAAATTAAATTACAAAGAGGTATAACAGAGGTATTAACATGGTTATGTGCATCTTTAGGCTGTTTGTAAGAATCAACTGTCACATTTAGGTTTATGAAATGCTCATAATCAGCGATCCGCTCTATTTTACACTTCCATGCTGAGTGGCTCATATGTCCTAGTTATTCATCCACAATATAATTATGTTTTTAAAAAAAGAAAAAGGCCTGCTGAATTAAAGACAGAGTTGGAAATACTCCAGTGTATTGCATTAATTTACTTCAATTTATATGAGCATGTTTCACTCTGCTGGGGAGGTTAATTCACCAAGCTCCATTTCCTGCCTTAATCATCTACCATAAGGATATTAATATGTCATATTAATGCCACACATTGCTACTGTGAAATTTGTAGTCCAGCCTCCAGCTCTAGTTTTTTAACAATGCTTGCGTTAATGGCATATCTGTACATAAACCTTTGAACTGCTTTTTTGTACATAGATCATAATATACAAAGAAAGCATTTGAGCTAGAGGATTTAAGCAGAGGAATTTGAAGTGTCTGTGCTGGCACACCACTGCTGCCACAGTGGTCCATGGTTGAAATCAGCAGCAGTGTCTATCCAGTGGTTTATTATCCACTCTAGAACAGCATTCTGCTGGGAAATTTGCTGTCCCATACAGCAGGTTTTCAAGCTTCTGCAAGATTAAGAAGTCACTATGGGAATATGAAGTTAACTGTTGTCCCACATCAGACAGTCACTTCTGGTATTCATACGGGGCAGGTTCTGGATGTGAAGCACCCTGAAGTGCCCTGGGGACTTGAAAACAGGGTCACCTTTTGGGGAACATCGCTGTGACAGAACTTTCAGCATAGCCAAGTGTCAGAAGCAGCAACAGAATAGTCCCGAGGGCATTGCTCTTATTGTTGGTATTACAGATAATCTCTTTGCCATGCAAAGACTGTTCCTGGAGAAGGCAGAACTCACTGCTGTCCTTTCCTTCCTGCCTCAGGAAGCCCTTTAGCTTGTGTAATGGACCAGAAGAGGAGGACTACTGTTCTCTCTCCCCTCTTCCACCTAAAGAAGGCTATGGCACCACTTTGTCCACGCAGGAGCAGCATTAATGGAAGTCACTGATGGCAGAGCCTTCCCAAAATAAACAAGTCTGCATTCTGCCTTCTGTACCTGCTAGTGTTTGGATATTGTAAGGATTGTGGTCTAGGAAACACAAGCTAAAAAAGGAGCTCAAAAACGTTGCTTCCTCCTACAGGCCATCTTTCACACTAAGGAACTTTTTTACATAACTTGTATGTTTCATGGCAGAGCTTAAACTGAAGAGTCAAGTTTTTCTCTAAATTCACCTAAGCTGCATTCCACCCCACAGCTGATTGTGTGGAAACACACAAAGAAAACTTAACTGGGGTTTGCACTTGGGTGGTTCCTCAGGAAAGTGAGAAGTTTGCATATGTGGGGGTTATAAATACATGGTATTGTGTGTAAATCCATCAAACCAGTGTATGTTACCTAGTGCTAAAGAAGAGGAGTGTGTCAGCTTGGAAATACTCTGATATTTAACGCACTACCTGGTAACATTTGCATCACACTCTATGTAGGATGTCAGACATCCTGGCTTTTCATGACTTCTCTCAGGCTTTCAAATCACAGACCCAACTTCTCTGTAGATTTTCTCTGAACAGTGGTGTCTTAGCACTAACTTTGAGCCTGAACCAAGGAAGCAACTGTTGGACCAAATGGCCCTTAACTTTAAACAGAACTGTTTCTCAGTTTTCATGAAGTTGAGCTTGCTGCTTGCAAAGCTCTTTATGGAATAGCATAAAGCTGTTACAATAAATCACTTGCTTCAAAAATAGACCTTGTATTTAGAGCAGCCATGGAGCCAAGTTGCTCCAAGCACACATCATTCCCTCAGTGTATATTTCTGCAGCTCTGTTAATAGTTAATTTTAATTCTGCTATGCAGAAGTTATTTTCACTGGGGGAAAAAAAGCCCACCAAAACCTATTAAGTTACTGTGCTTGTTTCTAGCCTGCATCATAAATCAAAGTGAGGTTTCCTATGTAGCTTTGACTTTAGCTGTGCACACCTGGATGTATCACTTTGCAAGATGATTAAGCATGTTGTAAGATCCTGAGACACATTCTGTCATTGAAGATTTCAGATAGTACTTATATATGTAAGTCTTGAATGCAAGTCTAGACTTCCTGTGCTTCACATGTTTAGTAGACAATAAATCCAGACTATGGCAGATAGAAGTTCAATTCAGTTTGAAAAAGAATCATCTCTAGAAAAAGCTGTAAAAGCCTACCTATTGTTTTTATACTGAAACATGGGTTTATTTCTAATTGCAACCTTAAGGTACACTGGCTCAACACTGTAATTTATAGAAAACATAAAACAGTACCAACATGAAGTTGTTTCTATAAGAAATAATATGTAACCAAAATGGTCGGAGAAATAAATGGTTTTGCCTATTCTCCACATATTATTGTAACCACTGCACACTTGTGTACCTGCATTGGCTGAGGAATCATGAACAAGTATTTCCAAACAGATTTGAATGAAAACAGGCCCTTTCAGAGACAGAATGAGCCGTAACATAAAATTGATCTGTATATTTTTTTAAGAAGTGATCATTTCAAAGCCATTCTGGGGATGGCTGGGTGAGAAACTGTGACCAGGGAGCTGCTTCCAACATTTCCCTTTCTGAATTGCAGTACCCTCCCTATAAAGGATCCTCACGTAGACAGTGCCTCTCCAGTGTATCAGGCTGTGCTTAAAACTCAGAACAAGCCTGAGGATGACAGTGAGGACTGGAGCCGTCGCTCTGCCAACCTGCAGTCCAAGTCCTTCCGCATCCTTGCCCAGATGACTGGAACTGAGTACAGTAAGTTGAATGGCAAAACATGCCCCTCGTCTTGATTTTAGATTCATGTCTTTTCCTCACTGCCCTGGTATTGGCCACTGATACTCAGGGAATACTCTTGTCCAGGCTCATGTAGTTGTCAAAAGGGTGAAGATCCTGGATGTAACTTGAGAGAACTCAGAAATCAAAGTGAACAATCTTGCCTTATGCTTTATAAAGAAAATTATTTTGCCAAGGGCCTCAGCATAAAAGTATAACAGATTGTACAGTAAATGAGCACTTGGGACCCCATAGTTATTCCTACTTAGAAATCAAGTCTCTGCAGTGCAATCTTTGGGTTTCCTGCAGCCTAGACATACAGTGCTGTCCATTCTTTAGGCAAAAATGATAAACATGTCATGTCTTCTGTAATAGTCTTTTATAGAAGTGACTTCTGGAGGTCAAAAACAAATGAATCACCATTTGTATGGAATCTACATCTCTACGTCTCTATCAGCCCTGTTATCTAAACCTAGATCTGAGTATCACAGAGCTTTAACCTTGTTGCCTATGGAAATGTTTTTATGGCTGCCTGGTACTCAGCTCACAGGTGGTTCCTAATGTAAAGAGAAGGAAGGTCAGGGCCTTTTCCCACATCAGGGGGAAATATTTAGTATTTCCTTCCCCCATTAATGTGCTGCTGCTGTCTCTCCTGCTTTGTACAAAACGGCAGGACCTCTCTATAGAATCATTGCCTACAGCTGTGAAACACTGCTAATAATGAACGGGAAAGTAGTTGTAATAGCTACCTTCCTCCTAACATCCTCCTTCTTGTCCCTAGGGAACTGCTATCTTCATGATCTTTCAAATTCCATTGGTGCCAAGTCAGTGTGAATGCACCATTAGATAGGCTTTTGATAAGTTTCTAAAGAATTTAAAATAGCATAAAGCCAATTCCTTTCTTTCTGTTTTTTAACTGAATCATTTTTTCCTACAGTGCAAGATCCAGATGAAGAAGCCCTGAGGAGGTCAAGGTAGGCAAGTCCCTGTGAAAAATACAGCATTCTCCTTCCTGATAACCCAATAATGTTTTAAAATGGCATTAATATGAACTTCCTTTATTATATTTTTGTCCTAAAAAATTCTAACACATTTACTTAAAAATCACTAAATTTAAAGTGCTGTCATTGAGAGGCATTTGAATGAGAAGGATAATGAATCAGCATGTTTTTAGGAAAAACAGTGCAAAATTGCTGAAGTGTGTGCTCAAATCTGAAAGCTCTCTGCTCATGCAACTTTCCTGTACTTTACTGGGTGTGTGAATGTCATGAGTTCCAAGCCCTGTGTAACTACTTGAATGTGTAAGTGGATAAAGAATATGTAATGTTGTGATAGCACTGAAATATGTGAGCAATTTATTTGGATGTCCCTCTGATTGACATTTGATTCTCCTTAAATGATACAGTAAAGGAGTTGTTTCCATTCATACCCATACTCATTGGTTTATGTTTTGTTTGGAATAAATATGACCTAAATTTGTAGAATATGGAAGCACAGGACTGCTTTTGCTAATGGATAAATGTATTTGTTTCATATGATGTATCTAAAACACTGAAAAAGAGGATATGTTCAGAGATATAATATGGAATTAAAGATTTATCATCATCCTGCATAGCCAGGAAATAGATGTATTAAATATTACTATGTTGAGCTTAAAAACTGCAGTTGAGTCGGAAGGGTTCTGCATGCAATCCTTAGTTTCTGTTTGCATACTTCAAATCCCTGTTTCACTGTAGCTGCTCTAAGCCACCGGCTGGGTTTGTGATGTGTTTGGTACTCAATCCACCTCTTCTTATTCTGTTTTATATTTTATGGCTCTGTGGGTTCTGAGCTTTTGATCACAGTGCAGGTTGCAAATGTTGAATCAGTGAGAAAGATCTGCTGTCTTCCCTGCGAGAATACAAGAATGCTTTCAGTTGGTGTTTGCTGTAAACCCTGTAAACCACTGCAGTTCGCCCAAGTTCATGGCTGGGTGCCATGAACATCAGGCTTGACATTATAGCCCTCAGGGATTTATTTCTTCCCTCAAATATGCAAGCCTAATTCTCATGACATGTATTGTGCATTATCTGTTTTGATGTAATAGCACACATCCAAATCCTTATTATGATAGGATTTAAAGCATTGTGCTGAACTTCACATTGCCCCATTCATATCTGAGAGTAATATGTGGTTTTAAAGAAGTAATCTCTCTAGGTCTAATCTGTGGCTTTGGAAAAGACAAAATTTTGGAAAATTGACATGGCATGCGATACGTTGACAATAATTACCGATAACACATCGACACATGTAAATTGCACATTCTATCCAGTGTAATTCCAAGTACATGACTACATCCACTATGCTTTGCACATTTTCTGCAGTCTTTAGGTATCGCTGTGTTATTCTTTTCTTGCCCAAGGATGCTTCTGGTTATGTTTAGGCACAGCTGAACAGGTTTAAGGTGTGCATTGGTAGTAGAGGCATAAGGGAGCATGTATAGGTAGTTACACAGGGACAGTGCAACTGGTGTAAGCTCTGGTGCAAGGAATGAACTGGAATCTCCTTCCTACCCCACTGGCACCGTCTGGGTGCTTGATACCCACCTCAAACATTGGACAAACTCCACTGGGGATTTGGCAGCAGAACCCTGGCTGTGCAGGCATCCATCATTGTGACCCCAGGCAGGCTGAGAGCAATCTCTCACTGGTATTTCTCTTGTCTCTTTGTGTCAGCTCCTCAGTGTAGCCAGCAGGAATTGCATGGAATGGAGATCAGGTTTCTTCCAAACACTTAGGAGTGGAGGGAAGAAAGATGTAGCTTATTTTTTGGAAGAACTGTTTTACATAAAAATAGTCACTTTTAGATTGCTACTTCCAACTTCATGACATATGTTCAAAAAAACCCATAAACTTGGGAATTTGGTTGGCAGAACATTGCTGTCAGTTAATATTAATGAGTGTGTTGTATGACTGTCCTTTGCTCATGCTGCTGCTGTTTTGAAGGCACACATAAAAGTATAACTTGCTATGAAAACCTTTCATTGCTGGTGTGATGATTGTTGTGGAATATTTTCTGGAAATATGGGATCCATTTCAAGCCAAACAGATGTTTCTGAATACCTTTTCCTTGAATGGAGGGGTAATATCTTCAAAGCAGAAAGGGAGTTCTTAAATTATATGTCAGACCCACTGGAGCTAGTATATTCTGGTGTAGCTAGAAAAAAATGCCATCAGAAAGTTTCAGCTGCAAATACTTTACATCTCTTAATTACCTAAAAGCATAAAAAGTAGTTGGAGAAGTCATACATCAAGACTCCTTTAGGACTGTTGCTTGCATGGCACTGTGTTATTAAGCACAAAAGATTTAGAAATATCAGTGAATTTGTTGGCATTTACTCTGTTTATTGTTTTGTGCTTTCCTCAGCCTGAGGAGTAAAACCAGCCCAGTCTGCTCCTTTCTGTTTGGCTGGTTTCACTCTCAAGTTCCACTGCATTAACACAATTAATTGTCTTGTGTTTTGAGTGTAAATAATGAGGAAAATAATGACCTTGTTTGCAATGACTGCAAAAAGTTTTGCAAATAATGAGAATATTTTCTTTTTCATTCTGTTTGATATACTTCTCCTTGACTGTGCTATCATCTCACATCTTCCTTCTTCCCCTTTTTATATAGAAAAGCTGAATTTAAGCTATAGGGCATCTAGAAAAGATTAAATCCTGAGAGATGCTGAGCATGGCTCGAGCGCCCCAGTCTGCAGTCAGGGGTGGCAGGAGATGGACAATATTTCACAGGACTCTGCTTTGTAAATCCCCTGTTGTTCTGCTTTCTGACACACATGACCAGAAATATCTATGCAAAATGTCAACACTAATACTCACTAATTCTGAGGAAGCTGTAGTAAAGTACTGCTGAAACCTGGGCTTGGTGGTCCTTGCAGGAAGGGCAGCAGGTTATATATGGGCTGACCTCAGTGTTAGAGAATGGAAAAAAAATTGCATTCATTTTGCACTTGTATGAGTTAACTTTCACTGATTCCTTAGTTGTGTGAGAGGAAGGGAGAAGACAAGAGAAACTGCTGGGAGGAAAACAATGGGATTACACTGCATTTCTAGCAAAAGCAGCCCTGTAATACCAAGCACAAGTCAAAGAATAAGAAGTTATATCAAGTTACTACTCAAAAATAAACCACTGCAAAACCTTTCACACGTGGTCCAAAAAGCATCACCCAGCCTTCACTATGCTGATTTGAAAGCTGAGGAAAAAATCCAAATAAATTGCCACTGCCCTAGTTGTAAGGCAGGGGAGTGGTAGCCATGGTCCCTAACCCCTTCTTTCTCCCTCCTTTCTTTCTTCTGTGTATGTGTGTCTCTCTCTGTCTCTGTCTCTCTCTTTCCTCATGCCACAGGGAGAGGTTTGAAACGGAACGTAACAGCCCACGCTTTGCCAAATTGCGCAACTGGCATCACGGCCTGTCCGCGCAGCTCCTTAATGTTAAAAGCTAAATGCCCCCAGTCCGAGGGCAACCACAGAGTCCCAGTAACACATTAACTGCTGGCCTGACTTAGAGCCTGAGCCTGCCACTCGTGCAAAGATGTGCTGCTAGGCACTAGGTTTCTGCTGTTAGCCTGTTAGCCTTTCACTGTCACCAAAGGTGAAATCATGACACAACCCAGGACATGTTCTTCATGATAAAGTAGTTTAGCTTTTTTTCCTTTATTATCTCAAACTTCGGTATACAGAAAAAACGTCACTATTGTAGTCTCTTGATTTTAATTCTAGAAGAAAATGAGAGGGAAGTTATTGACAATATTTCTTTAGGAGGAAAAAGAATGAGATTTTCGCAGAGTTTTACTGATATAAAGACAATGAAGTAAGAGAAAGAAAGTTGAAAAGGAAAACTGATTGGCCTAGACTTTGCTAAATGTATAACACACTTAGTTTGCATAGTTGAATGATGCTGTTTGAAATAAGATATTAGCAATGTGAAGCTATATTTCAATATATTATACTGGCAAAAGTCATTTACTGAAACCATTGCTGTAAGTTTTGTGTTGGAAACCTTAATTTATCATTATATGAAAGAGAGATAGCTGAGGTTGCTCAGGATCTGCAGGGAAATGACATTTTGCTATAGGTGATTTAGGAGTGAGAAGAATATATCATACTGCTGGTGCTCTGAAGCTTTTAAAAGCATCTTGTAAGTTTTAAGGAATATGTTGCCCATTCTGTATTGCTCTTGCTTTGACTCACATCTTTTCTGTATATACCAGCATGCTTTATCTGAAATAAAAGGTTTTAAAACTAAAATAATTCTGTGCCTATTTTACACAGTACTTTATTCTGTTTTAATACAATAACTGCTTCAAGTGATTATTGAAAGAAGACCTTTTCTTTCCCAAATATAAAATTTGGTCAAAAAGTTTTCCATTATTAACTGTAATTATTAATGAACTGTAAGTTGTCTGAATTGGAATAAACCTGATAAAGCAGTTGAGTTAGGTACCTTTATCTGGTAGCAGTAATTCCAATGAAAGGGATTAGTGCATGAGATCAGATTGAAACTATTACACTTTTTGCTGCTTCCAAATTTGTTTCAGCAGCTCGTACAAGAACCAAGTTCGTTCAAACTAAATTTTTTTTCTGCATTATAGAAATAAGGAAAAGCTACTGTTCATGGAGAATTTTTCATGAATCAACCAAATACTGAAGTGTTTAAAGGATTATCATACATATACAAAAAACCTAATTCTTCACTATTACTTAAGAGTACATTAGCACTAATTCCTTTTAAAATGCGTTTCACTTTTCTTAGCTAAATACCAGAGCTCTTCAGGACATGCTACTTAATTCACAACATGGATTTATATTTTTCTTATGGGAACACAAACAGATTCTGATCACACTATCTTATTAGTACCTATGATAAATCAGCATCACTGCATGAAATAAGAGCAACATTTTAACTTCTCCTGATTGTTGCCAGGAGCAACCT